AAGCACCTTTTTATACAGGAGATGACTGTGTATCCATTCAAACCGGCTCCTCCAACGTACATATACACCACATCAATTGTGGCCCTGGCCATGGCATCAGGTTTGTAAATACACACAAATATTAAAAATTATTATATTCGTGCATCTTTTTACTATACGTTTTTTTTTTCATTTTTCACTGATTTTTTTGGTATCTATGTTGGTTTGTGATCACAGCATAGGAGGTCTAGGGAAAGATAAGAGTGTGGCATGTGTTTCTGATATTGTTGTGGAGGATATCTATATACAGAACACTCTTGCAGGTGTTCGGATCAAGACTTGGCAGGTACATATATTTTAAACATAGAGACGACATTATTATTTTTAAGACCAATATATTATGATCACTGACCAAAGTATATAATATGGATCTAAAATCTTATATTTGTTAAATACTTATATAAAAAGAGATATATAGAAATAACATATTTATGAAGTTTATAATATATGTTTATGTTTGTTCAATTTGGACTCAGTTTTTGGACAAATGATATGGTATAGTTTTAATTTAGCCAAACTGAAATAATAGAGCTTGATAGTAAGTTCACTAAGTGACATGGAAAATATCTAATATCGGCAGGGAGGATTAGGGGTCGTCAAGAACTTAACATTCTCGAACATACAAGTAACGGACGTGCAGATACCAATAGAAATAAACCAGTACTACTGCGGCAAGTCCAATAAGTGTAAGAATCAGACCCGCGCAGTATCGATTTCCGGCATTAAATACAGCAACATCGTCGGTAGTTTCACGGTGCACCCGGTACGTATCGAATGCAGCAACAACGTACCATGCATGGACGTGGAACTTATGGATATAAGACTAAAACCTTCCAGAGGATTACAAACACATCAGCAACAACAAGCTTTGTGTTGGAACTCGTACGGTAAAACACAAGAGCCGCTGGTTCCTTCAAGCATTGGTTATTGCTTGAAGAAGAGTAAAACTGGTGGTTACTATCCCAAGAGTTTTATTACTTCGTCCCATGATAAAACTTGCCCTTCGTAAAACCTTTAATCAAAATTTAAGGTTATTATATTAGCCGAAGATATTTTAACTTTTCAGTTATATATCTTTTCGTGCTAGAGACCAGTCCAAATGATCATAGGTATCTATGTTTTTATATATTTTCTTTTTTAATTTGTGTTTATCTGGGGAGACTATGATGTTTCTTTTTGCTTCCCTTCTACAACTTTTTGTGAATGTGAGAAGGTGATGGCTCTTGAATCAGCTATTTTTTCTTCTATATTGTTATGAGGTATGGTTCCAATTTCAGAGGTTTAATACTATTTTACATATTGCTTGTAATAAAATGCTTAACGATAATGTTTGTTTGAAGTTGGTATTCATAATACCTTACTATTTTACCATCTAAAATAAATCTGATGGAGTGTGGTATGTAAAATGAAGAAAAATGGTATGTAAGCTTGTATTGTTTTATATATTGATATGCCTGTGATATCTCAAAAGAAACGCTGTAAAGTGAATGTGCAACTTTACCGTTTTATAAATTAAATTAGCAAGTTGACATTTATGGATTAAGAAAGAACAGTTAGAAAATGCTTAAACGAAAAATGTGAAGAGTTGGAAGATAAGATTTTATAAAGAAAAGGCTCAAGTAGTAAGTCAGAATTGAGAGAATATTCATTTACAAAATTAGTAACATAAGAACCTTTTAAAAAATCCTTAAAAGCTACAAATAGAAAGGAGCTTTAGACTTTATAATTACTTGTCAGTGGAGTTAGAACCAATTGATAATACGTTGGCTTTGGTGGAAAGACCACACTCTCTTCTAGTATAATTTTTAGCTACTAAGCTTGAAACCTAACTTTTAATACTACAATAATCTTCCATCAATCACAAGACTGTGTGAGCAAATTTTATTAGGCAAATACATCATCAATAAATACAGGTGAAGGATCGAAAATAATTTGTTCACATGTAATAGGTTAGAATAATTTTTGTTGCGATATTGAATTTAAAAATTAAACTAATTTGTTTTTCTTGTTGATAACATATATTATATGGGTCGGAATCCAGATTGCAACACAATGACGATACGACATAATCAATTAGAACTGATGTTTTCAACTACGAAAATCTTTTCAAAGTTTGTTATCGCTACAAGATTTTTAAACACGAGAGCTTGATTCTATCTGAAAACTATGAAAGTGGACGCTGTTGGACCCAAAAAAAATACAAAAACCTATACGGCTATATGAATGAATAGTAAGACATAAAAGTAATTTAAGTGTGATTGAAGGTGCCTATACATATATATATAAAAGGCATGAGTAATGTGAGGCAGGAGATGAGAGTGATAGAATGTCTTCACCGTCCATTTCGGCTCTCTCTTTAATCAAAATCTATGTCGCACGCGCATGTGCATTTCCTTTTGATTAATATCTACCTATTTCTTTGCCTTTATTCCCTTTTTATGACATTGTTTTTCAATATATATTTCAGTAAATTGGATCATATCTATATTTATACACACCCCAATTTTTTTCTTTTGTTTGTATTGGGAGTTCGATCGATGATTTCTCATATGCACCGTTGAAGCCAATGCTAACCAATTTCAAGGGTGCTCTAGCATCAGTTTCCCGCAAAGTTTGCTTTGGGATTAAACATCAGGTCAAAGTCTAGATCCAAGTGGTGCAAGACGCAACTAATTTGTTCATAGTGGAAAAAAAATTAATGAAGAGCTTTTTACCTTCAACCAGAATTTGCAAAATTAAGTTCTGAAGTCCATATATCATATACACGTACTGGATTATACAAAATTTGTTTTTGAATGCCTAATAATTTAATTCATACCAATATATTCTACGTGCTTTCTTGCTTTGAAATCAAATACCAAACAGAAATTACTCCCTTTATTTGACAACTAATAAATAACACTAAACAAAAAGTTTGGTTAACCCATCCGATAGCACTTCTCCTAAATCAAGTCTTAGAATATTTGGAGATTTCTGATCTAAACTACTAAAAACTTTACTAACTGAGTTGTGGTGGCTTAGTGATAAAAGAACTTAAGAAAAAAGGTAAACCCTTCTGACTTAAGTTTGACTTCTCCTAATAACACTTTCACAAACATTTGGCTAGTCGGAATGGTATAACATTTTAGGCCCATTAAAAATACAATGAATGGACTACTACGACAATTATATTCATCCTGTTGAATTAGTCGGCTGATAAAATCTTGGATAACCCCTACTGATCCAAATTAAAAAATTAAAAAAAAATAAAACCAGTTCAAGAATTTCATATTGTCCGTTTACAATGGGCCTTTAACATTAAAACCAAGCCCATACTCGCTCCAATTTCAGCCCATCTATAATCCGTCCCGCGTTAAAAAAAAAAGAATCGAAATTACTTCAGATGATCACGTGAAACTCACGTGTTCATTGGGAAGGGATAGAAAGTAGAAACCGGGAAAGGAAAAAAACCCTAAAGGAGACTCATTTTCTGGGTCGAGAAGCTGCGAGTAGAGAGAGAGAG